AATAATGGGCTAATTTTCATTTTTGGGTGAACTATCCCTTTAATTGCACAGCCCTAATGCATAGTGCACTATTATGTATCAGGGAATTGCAGAAATAACCAAAATCAACTGGCAAGCCACATCACAAATAACTGACAGGCTAGATTTGTTGAAAAACCCTGGAATAAACTGAAAGTTACAATTTAGTTGATTGACCTTCTGAATCCTGTTCAGCTCAGATGCCTCACCTGACACAATGTTAGAGAGCGGCGTCACTCCACCTTTTTCCACCTGCGGAGTCCCTTTCTTGTCCTCACCCCTTGTGTTCTCCTGTAGCGGCCGAGGGCGGAAAAACTTCCACCTGCAGGCCTGGATGTCACTCAGGAGCAGAGTCAGTGAGCGCTGAGGGCTTGATCTGGAGTTGTGAGAGTTTGTGTTTGTGTGGACGGGGAGGTCAGGCACAATAGAGTCAGCAGACGGATAAAACATGTCAGGGTCCAGATGCCTGAGGGCACGGTCCAGATCTGACGAGGTGCGATCCAAAACAACCCTGATGGATTAAAACAGAGTGCTTTTCGATTTTCTACTAATCTGAACTAAATGAATTCACACCACACATTGTCTCTACAGTGACTCATACTTCATTACAGGAAACAGAATTTTTACAAAAGATGAAAGAGGGCAATTGAGAAACTGTAAATAGAAGAATAACGCACCTGCCACCTCTGCCCACCCTCCCACGAGCCACTGCGATGCAGCGTCTGGGCACAGAGAGAGCGGTGAGACAGTTCCGCTGCCACAGCCGGTCCTGACCCGTCTGCTGCCAGTGAAGAGAGCAGCTCTGATCCACCAGCGGCTGAGGAAACACACCACACATTTAACAGTGGGAAAGGAAATGACCAAAACACCAGAGCCAAATAATATGCTTCTCTGTCACTATAATTGCGAGTATACCATAGTCTATGACATCTAGAAACAACTACATATAATAGTTTGGTTTAGTTTCATGATATTCACATGCACTAAAGCTAAGCACAGTCATTGACCATGTGCTTTATTTACACGCCAAGACAAAAAACAGCCCTTCATGTCTCATGACCCATGTGTTTTAGAGTGTTCATTACCGCAAATCAATTCTTTGTGGTTTTAAGAATACATTCAAAACAATGATCTGATGCCATTAACATTCACAATAGTTTTTAAAAGTCCTCAAACAGCATTTTCTCGTGCTTAAAGTTTTAGTAGAACAACATGCACTTATATAAATAACACAAATAAAATACTTAACTAAAAATATCATTATTTGTGCATATTTCAAATATTTTAAATAGTTAAATGTTTAAAATACATTATTTGCTTATTTTTATTGCCATAACATCACCTTTGGCTAAATGTTATCTACTTGACAACAATGGCAAACTGAAATTTGAAAATGATTTGGGGGTCCAGGACCCACTAGGGGGCCTCAGCAAAATATCCAAATGTGTGTGTATATTATATATATTTGTAAAAAAATAAATAAATTGGAATCCTTGGATATATGAGGTAGCCTAATTTTAAAAGTGAGATTTATAGATCTAAACCATAAACTATTTTTGTTTTTAAATCCTTATGCAATAAATCACAAACAACTGGAAGAAAGTGAAAATGACTTAATTGCTCCTAGAGTAGTAGTATATTTTTATTTAATGCCATGTCAGTATCTTAGGCTATTTTCATGGCAAAAACTATGAAAAAAATACAAGTATAAGAAATACAATAAAAACCAGCAAACAAACAAACAAGTTAAATTACACAACATTTTTTACATTAACGTATGATACAAATTCTAAAACTTTTTCTGTCAAAATTATACTACATCACTCTTTGAGGGGGTTCACTTAGCTCCTAGAAGTTTTGGAATTCTAAATTTTTTTTATTTTTATTTTTTTACAGAAACTATAGTAAAAGTGGCCATGGTTTAAAATAAGTTTTGAGACAGGTTGACAACCACTGCTTTACACCATTTCAGGGCACCTTAAAATCAAGACATAATTTTTCAGTTATATCACCCAGCTTTGGCACGATCTACAGTCAGCATTGATGTAAAACAGGAAACTCACAGCTTGGTAACTGCAGCCAGCTTTCCGTCTGAAGGCAAAGATTCCATCAGGATCATTCTCTTCATCTGGCTCTGAAGCTGGAGACTTCAGAGGAAAAAGGAGAAATAAAAGCCATAATTAATGTCTTAAGTAAAAGCACTAAATAAATACAACATCTACATAAGCATGTGTAGCCAAACACTGACTGTGCACTGACCAATGGGTAATCATCTTCGCCAGAGCTGTGAAAGTCATATTGTTTAATGTCTGCCTTGTTGATGGTTTGCTGTCGCTCTGGCCGACCAGGCTGGAGAAATGTATCAAGTTTGGGCCTCCTGCTGTACTTTTTATGGGACCGCACAAAGTCAAAGTGAGGCTCAGGCTTGACTGTGAAGGGGTGGAGGTGTTTGGGCCCAGATTTGTGTGACTAAAGGAAAGAGACAGAAGAAATATTTTTATAATGACCATTGAGCACGTTCAAGCTATTTCTTACACACGGATCTTTCCTTACCTTTATTTTGCTCTCTGCCTTGTGCCGACTACTTAAGGGCAAGGATATGGGCGCAGGGTAAATGGTTTTCTCTGCCAGAGGTACAGTGACCTCATTCAGAATCTCTCCTGAGAAGTCTCCAATTTGATACCTAAAACACACAAAACATGGAAAAACAATTGAAAAAACAATTTGCACTTTTCAAATGGTTTAAAGCTTAGCGAGACTGGTCATGAGAGAGAGGAGTCACCTTACACACAACAACCATTCAAGCAGTTAAGTGACACAAAACTGTTTTATTTATATAGTGTATGTAACAACAGAAATCATCTTAAAGCAGCTTTATAAAAAGAGCAACGTTCACACACCTTTTCTCAAACACCTCCAGCGTCAGATGCAGCAGCTCTCGTTTGCTCTTTTCTCTCTTCTTGATCATCTCCAGGATGCTCATGGTTCGGCTGAACTCTCTCCTCAGCTTTAGCATCTTCTCATAAGACACCTCGTCATTCTTGCGATTCTACGGTGAGAAAAAGACACACAAACAGATGGTATGAATTAAGAAATATGCTGTACAAAACAAATATATTGGGCATTTAAAAGTCTGTATTGGTCACCCACTTAATATTAGCTAGGAAAAGCTAGAACTGAATGAAGTCTTCAAAAAACTGATGTAAATAAAAATAAATTATATTAGCAAAAATCAGACGCAACATAAGGATGCCAGTTTGACACACAAACATATAAAAAATATTTCCATTTGGAAAGTAAGAACAAGTCCTGTCTGAATGCCCTCTAATAATACTGTTTGTGGAATACATGACAAAGCACAGAACACATGCATACCTTCCTAGTCTGCATCTTCTCTGTGCGACGCCTGAAGGCCACGTAAGCATCATTGTTGGTGGAGCCATCCCTC